CTCCTGTAATTATGAACTGCAAAGTTTATAAGTACGAGGTGAGTCAGAAAAGTTCCAGGACTGGTGTCACAAAAGATGTATTTCAAACCCAAACTGCAAACTACCAGTTTTTCCCTTCAGACGACCAACCAGCTCGTCTACAGAGATCCTGCAGCGTTTGCTTCGTTCAGTGCACAAGAAGAGGCGAGAGTTGTGGCAGGACAAGTCGTGGCTGCTTCACCATGACGCCTGCTCACAATACCCTGAGCATCCAACAGTTCCTGGCTGAGAAGAACATCGCTGTGCTGGAGCAACCTCCCTACTCACCCCACCTGGCTCAGTGGGATTTTTTCCTCTTCCTCAAGCTCAAGAGGGTCATCAAGTGGACCCGTTTTGAAGATGTGGACGACATCAAGATGGCTGTGATGATGAAGCTGTGGAGGATCCTGGAAGAATAAAGTGCATGGTGGCAGAGAAGGCTGGGAAAGTGTGTTAGACTCCAGGGGGATTACTCCGAAGGGGAAAACTTGTAGTTTGTAGTTTGTATTTGAAATCTATCTTTTGTGACACCAGTCCTGAAACTTTTCTGACACAACTCATGTATGTGCATTTTTTTCTATGTTTTTGTCATAGAAAATTGAGAGAGAATAATGATGAAAATATGTAAATTAGCACCTCACAGTCTTTCTTTAAGTAGCTAGAAAAACATATAAAAAAAAACAACAACCAAGAAGTGCTTATTGTGCAAAATGACATGATACTTTTAACATCCATTCTCACCGATTTTTTTTTGTTCTTTTGTCTTATTTTCACGAGTGAGGGGATAAGTGAGCATACATCTATGCATATGTAGAGCGCTACAGACTGCATTTTCTTCAGGAGTACACATGTGCATGAATTGAATGCATGTTTCATTGTGTATGTCTGCGTCTGTTATCTCTCATCCAAGTGTATGTTTCAGTGTGAGTCCAACAGATGTGTGTGTATTTGCATGTGTGTTTATGCAGCGAGCCCATATGACACACCGTGGATTAATGGCTGAAATACAGCTTCATGTCTAAACATTTTCTTTGAAAGAAAATTTAAAGGAGGGTCATGCCAAAACAATTCAAAGTCCACATGGCAGGCCAGACACTGTCTCTTTTTGATACGACTTCTTTAGCGTTCTCTGGCTCCACGTTTCTTTTTATACCTCGCTCACTCAATCCATCTTGTCATTCTGAGTCTCACTGTTTTTTGCATCTCTGCCTCTTCTTTTCCCTTTAGTTTCTTTTTCATCCTCTCTTCCTCTGCCTCACATCAGCCCCTCTTTTTTTTTCTCCCCCTCCTCCCTCTCAGGAGATGTCACTCTTAACATCCTCGGACAGAAAATATAAACACACATATCAGTTGAGAGGTTCTCTCTCTCTTTTTCTGTCCCATCTGGAAAACCTTAGCGTGCCCCCAGAACATGACAACAGACACAGAGAGCAGAGAAAGAGAGTAAACACAGAAATATGTGTTACAGTGGGAGCAGCACTTGGACGACGGACGAGAAAAGATGAAGAATGGAAGAGTGATGGGTTGTTAGTTATTTGTTTTGGATCGCTGAGTTGTCCATTTGTCAAATGCTGCAACTTTTTGAGCTGTTGCTTCATGCCAGATTCATTTGTTCAGTGTCGCTTGTTTATATGAAAAGTGTCTCTTTCGTTGTTTGCATTGGCCAGAAAGCATCCACATGATTGCCTGTCAATGTGATACTGAAATTGAATCCTTTTAAAAGACGTGCTGCCTGCAACTGTGTAAAGTCACTCATATCATTGCCTCCCGTTGACATCCACGGTCACGTCTCTCTTGTGACTTCGCTTGCTTTTGCTTTTGAATTCGGCATTTTTAAACTACAAGTGTTGTTCTTCTCTCTCTCTGTCTCTTTATGCTCGTCACTATAGTCATCTGGAGGACAACCAAATCAGTGTTATCGAGAGAGGAGCCTTCCAAGACCTCAGGCTGCTGGAGAGACTGTGAGTATGCCATGTTACGCTGCTAACTGGGGGTGTGAGGGAGAAAACTAGGCAGTGTGAACTCAGCACCTGATGCAAAAAGAAAGCATTCTAGGCATGTAAAAAATCCACCAGGCTACACACACACACACAAAGTATGCATACATGGACATCCATGAACACAAAGTCACACATATTTGACTTACTACTGTGTTTTTTTTTCTTATTTTTAGAAGTGCCTTTGATTTACTCCTTCTGCATGTCTGTTCTGTAAAGTGTGCTCACACAGAGTGTACCTGGTTGATACCCAAGTCCATCCACTTCACACCTCGCCATGGAATCTCCCATAGATGCTGCCTTCTTCCCTGTGTGTGTGTGTGTGTGTGTGTGTGTGTGTGTGTGTGTGAGTGTGTGTTTGTGTATCCGTCAGCTCACACCAAGGCTCTAGTCAACAGAATGGAGGTGTCAGTGTACAACACGACACTTCCCACACACACACCTGCCTGTTTATGACTCTGTGTCGGAGTATTGATGGGCAGACAGCTCTGCAGGAAGATGATTCTGTCACATGAGAGACAAAGACAAACTAATCCCCTTTGGGCCCCCTTTGCCAATTATAAAGGTGGCCTTCAGATGAGGACAGAATTTCTAAACTTAGCAAACTGGCTGTCGTAGCAATGTTGAATTTACAAGCTGAATATTTAATTTCTCTATTAATTTGTTTGTTCGTGCAGTTTATTTTTCAATTAAAGTAATTTAAAAAAATGTCTTTAGCTATCTAGATACTGTTAATTGGTCACCATCTTTCTGAAATGTACTTTTGCAGTCATACAGTCGTCCTCAAATGTATTCATACCCTTCCATTAAAGAAAAAGCAAATTCACAATCGTCACTCAAATAACTCGTCCTTCTTTATAAATTTGAGGACGACTGTACATAAACATAGGATGTTTGTAAGTGACTGCAGAGTGATGAATGTTGCTCAGCTTCTTTTAAGATTTCATTGATTTGCTTTGAAAAGAACACTTTAGGTTCTACAAGAGCGAGAACAGGTAGGAATGTTTTTTTTAAGATTTCAAAATAAAAGTCTCTGGACAACTGGGTGGCATTGTAGCTACAGCGGGGTAATGGAGACATAAAAAGAGACAAAGCAGTTCACTTCAGCCGTCAGCAGACTTCTCCAACACTCGACAAAGTCTTGAGAGACACTGAGTGACAGCAACATGTGGCTCCAAATGGAGATCACACGTCTGATAGTGAAAGTGTGAGGTGATGAGCTGCTTTAATGTGAAAAGGCCCCTTAATACAGTGTGTCAGGACAGGTCAGAGGCTACAGATGAGAGGGTGAGGAGGTTTGGCGGGCAAAGCGTCAAAATTCACATGAGAGAAGGTTTTTCATTGATCCACGTCATTTCAAGATATGATTCAGTGCATTTTTAAGGTAGTCCTTAAAGTGTAGACTGAAAGTACATTTAATTCACATTACTGTTTAAGAATGGCACTTTACCCAAAGTTAATCTCTGTTTTGGCTAAAAAAAACTTCTCCTGCAGTGCAGCAATGGTAAGAGTGAGGGTCCTAAATTGTGCCTTCTACTTTACTGATAGTGAAATGGTTTTTAAAATGCTTAGTTGACAGGGTCTCTGATGTTGTGTCTGCCGGGGTGATAGGTCAGAGGTGAGAGGTCCGGGTGCTGAGTCCGTGTGATTTATGGAGTCACAATGTGAAAAACATGGAGCTTTTGTAGTCGTCTCCTCGAGAGAAGACGTTCATTTATGTCAATCCGTGAGTTATAAAGTCACGGGTAAAAGACTGTGAAATGTCAGAATGTGATGATCCACTGTTTTAGTGCTGTGTGTGAATATAATTGATGGATTTCCTACAAAAAGAACTGAAGCTTTGTCAACTTTTTTATTTCGTTTTCTTTACAAAAAAAACCCAGTGAAATTATTTTCTGTAGGTTTCCAAACTATTTCTTGTAGATTTTACTGTGAATCGGACTAATAGGGGGGATAATTTTCCAAATTTTAAAAAATACAGTGCCCATAGACTTGTGGTCTGGTGTGATTTCAAAGGTTCCAAGTAGAAAAATAAGTCGTCATTATTGCTTGAAGATACACAAAGGATTCTTCCTTTAAAAACCATAACTGTGTTGTGAGTCTTAAAATGACTCACGACTGTAATAGTAGCTGATCATGTGCTTTGCTTTTCGTACGAGCAGTTATTTTCTAGGAGCAGGGGTCAATTATTTCAAATGGTGGGTGTCTCTTTTTGGACTGCGTTTCTCTTTCCATTTGTGCACGCAGGAGTGAAAGTCAGGGTCTTATTATCATTATCCAGAGGTTAAAAGGTTGGTGTCTGTGTCTTCTCCGACACAGATTCTGCCTCGTGACCCCGTGACCCTCCGCCCTCCTCGTCTTTTCTCTTTCCCTTCCACGCCTCGTTCCTCAGCCCAAAATGCTTTGGTAGCCTGATAACACTTTCACTCCCTCTGCTCGCGCTGTCCTCATCTATCTCCGCTGCGGCCAACCCCACCTTGCTTTTGCACACATGCACATCGTTCACTCTCAAACACTCTTCGCTGCTTTCACGGCACCATTCTTTCAGTCTCTCCATCTTCTTCTGCCTGTCTTTTCTGTTTAAATATTTGCCATGTGTTCAATGCATGCGCCTTTCAACTTACTTAAGCAAGGAATGGAAATAGAAAATATAATACAGACCTGGGCATGAGAATATTTGTTTAATCTCATATTAACGTCATTAGAAAAACATGATGAAGGTTTGTTAGAAATAATACCAAGACAGGTGCTAATGTTGATCAACAGAAATGGATTTTCTTTTTTAAACTATACATCCATATTGTCATAATCAGAAGTTGTTTTTGTTGCTCTGCTATGAGTAAAAGCAGCCTGTCCACATAAATACTTGTGTACATTTTTTACTTGTTTGCTGCACTTTCTAAAGTTTTGTATATAGACAGGATCGATTCTTTGAAAGAGCCTTTTTTGGTATGTTTCTCTTGAGGCCGGGTGCGTCGACCACATGTACAGTGAGCACGATGGATGAACTATCAGTTCTATATATGAGAAGTATTTAGTGAGTATGAATTCCTCTGCAAAGCTCTTGCATTTTATAAATTTTTTCCTATGAGAAAAAAAAAATAGGTCAGTAAGATTAAGCTAAGCCAGTAAGTTTTTTTTTTTTTACCATTCAGATACACAGCAGTGCACTTGGCTCTCTTATAATCCTCTAATTGATGATTCAGTCTTTTCATAAAAGGACAAAACAGATTAAGACTTTTGCCAAAGTACATTGTAAACGTACAAAGAATAGTGTCGTTGGAGTGGATCATCCTGGATCAGTCTTACTTCTGCTGATCTTTCAACACCAGTAGCACAAACTTGTTCCTCTCCTCAGAGCATATGTGAGGATGATTACGGAGCTTCAACACTGATAACCTGTAACTGACACGCATACATAAAACACTGTGCGATAACCTGTAGGCCACGGATACAGGAAACCAGACGGACTTTCCCATGAGTTTGAACCCGCTGACCTTCGCGGTGATTCAGTCAGCTGTGTGGCGATTGTTCCGTCAACACAATATCAGAGTGATTTATTAAGAGCGTGTTGTCGCCTTTCTCTGCTCCCGATGAGTTTATTTCTTTTCTCCTTCTGTTTCTCCCTGTAGTCGCCTGAACAGAAACAAACTCCAGTTTCTCCCAGAGCTTCTCTTCCAGTCCAACCCCAAACTAGGACGACTGTGAGTACTCTTTTTTTTTTTTTTTTCTCCACCTCTCCATCCACGATTTCTCTCTGACTCTCATCACTCTCTCTCTCTCTCTCTCTCTCTCTCCTTTTCTGCCTCTTTTGATGTGTTACGTGATCCATTTGAAAACACGGCCGTGGTGCGATGTCAGAACTTTTATCCGGGTTGAGGGTTCAAGTCTCGCGCCAGGTGACACAGTGCCGCTCTGTGCTCCTGTCGAGAGGTGAAAAAGACTGCGAGTGTCAGATGTGTGTGTGTGTGTACGCACGATTTAAAGAGGTGAAAGTGTGCCTGGAGCGAATGTTTTGCTTGGACTGGTGTGGAATTTTTATTCGGGAATATGGAGTTTTCCCAGAGTGTTCAGAGTGTAGGAGCAGGTCATACTGATGCGGTGAAGCCTCCCACTTGCCCTCCTTTCTCCCTCTTTTTCATCTCACATTCCCAGACATGCTCTCTCTCTCTCTCTCTCCCTTCTCGCTGGTTTCGGTCCCATCGGTGCATCCACCCTGTCTCCTTCTCTTTTCCTCTGCTCTCTCCATCTGCGCTCTTTCTTTCCACTCCGGTTGTCAGGTTCTCTATTTGTCTTATCCTCAGAGAGTCTCTGTCAGCTTAGGTTGAAGGTTGAAACACCTTCTAAACTTTATAGCTGTTTACATTGGGCTGCCTTCAAGTGAAGCTCGAGTTTGACTGTGTGTGTGTGCTTGCTGTCGATTGTGTGTGTCTTCAGTGATTATTGTCTGCACTCCTGAGTTTATGCATCATGCGTTTGTGTGCGCGCTCCCTTTATTGATGCTCTGACTGTGTGTGTGTTTGTATATGTGCATTGCAAGGTGTGTGTACAGGGAACACTAGCTCTGGGACATTAAAATTCTCACTTCCCTCATTCGCTTTTATAATGTTTCCATGAGACAGAGAGCCTTGGAAGCTACTGTAAACTTTCTTTGTTGAAAAAAAATGTATTCTTCTGTATATTTTTTGAGGGGTTTTGAAATTTGAAGGAATGCGCTCCTCAGTCGCTTTTGATTCACTGCCTAGATCCTTGAGCAATAAGTTTGAAAGGTTCCTAGCGTGCTTCCTCACAGACAGTGACACTTACCTTACAGTTGATTCAAGTCATCACCGTGTTACGCTGTGCCACAGGGTATCAAAATGTCAAAAAGTGTCTTGAATTACAGCTTTCCCCCCACAAAACGATTAAATATACCATGTCAGTGTGTACTTTTCACATCCTCGTGCTTTCAAAGCTTCGCTGAAAGTTATTTGGACCGCTGGTAGGGAAGTGGATTGTGCTGCAGGAAGGTTGGAGAAGTTACTGTGGAAATTTTTTGACATGTTGATTTGTTATGAAACTTGGTCCGCCGTTGAAATCCTTTCTACCATAACTGCTGTAAATCCAAACAAACTTACAAGCTTTTGCAGAAACCTATCAAGCCTCGAGGCATTTGCTGTTTGAAAGTCAAAAGAATAGTCTTTGACATGAAGCTCTTTGAAGACATTTACCAACTGTGTTTTTTTTTTAGTTGGACAAATTACTTTACGATGAAATCCACCTCTTCTGTCTACAATTTGATTCTCATCCTGGTCTCATCCACGTTCAGTAGTAGATAATTGCTGTCCATTAAAAACTGTGCATCTGGATGTTTGTTTGAAAGCATTAAACACTCTTTTGTAAGATTTGGCAATTCCCCTATACATACCTAAGATGTCACTGAATTACCTACAAGCTCCATGAAGCCTAAAACTAGGCCATTTTTATTGAATGAAAAGTTGCAATCCTGGACCAAGCTGTTCAAAAGTAATCTGATTGGCTGTTGGCCAACCCATTTTCACTGTTCGATCCAAACCAATAGGATCACACGGTGAAAATGGGCTCTTCTGAAATCAGATTAGACCACAAAATCCAGTCTTGGGTTTGATTTGGCTCAGACCTTCTGTATGCGTTCAGTAGGATTGGGATACCTGTGGTCCACAAATCAGGACTACCTGATCCCAGCAGAAGGGTGGATTCAGAGTGGAATTCAGGAGCTTGATTGCACTTGATTTGTTTGACTGTTACCTTTTAGGTCAGAGATGATTGTGCCTCCTAAAAGCAGAGCTTCAAAAAGCTGGTCAAATTAAGAACTATGTATTTGTTGAGGGCCAGATGAGGAATCAAACTATTTAAAGAGGGTGAAAACATATGTGTTGTTTTATTGTGCTGTTTTCTTCTAAAGTGACCCCATGCTGGCTGTTCTGCCTGTTCTTTACATAGTTAGTAGCCGACATTGTGATGTGTAATGCCATTCAGGACACTCTGGATTTGGTAATCTTGAATCGTCTGTATCTGTATCAGGGTGATCCAGTTCAATGCTGCTAAATAGCAAAAACACAGATTTCTGATCCAGATTAAACTTGATCTGAACAACCGGGCCTTGAAGATTTGTGGTTTTCATTGGGCAGAAACAGTTTTTTTTTGAGTTGAATTGTGAAACTTTCTCTGTCAAAGACAACACTTCCTTGTCATCAGAACTTTTATTTTGTAACATAGCAGTTCAAGTTGCAACAAACACAATAATAATTACAGTGCTTTATGAAGATGACAATGAACTGATTTAGTGCCGTCTCCGTGCAATATATTGTGTTGGCAGAAAAAAACCGCAGAAAGACGAAATCCTCCTGGTGGGGTGCACGCTGCGAAACCTCTATTTAAAACTCTGGACCAATCGTGTGTTTCATATATTTGCGGTGATGTATTGCTGAAGACAGCAAAGTAGACTGTTATGGCTCAAAGCAAATTGTCATTTGCGTCAACTGTGGCTTCCAGGATCACACACAGTCAGAACCCCTCATGTGAACATCAGGGACACACACGGTGACAGATGCGAACACAGACAAACAGTAATATTTCATAACGCATGCTCCCACCGTGTTTGTTTCTGTTTTCCGAGCCTTTCTCTTGTTCGTCGTGAGTGACAGTCTTATTTCCTCCATCGCCTGGCTTACTGTTCTATAAAACCCCTAATTGGTCTCGATAGCTCTTATTTATCACCGGTCGAATATGGATCCCCACAGGCCTCTCAGACAACTCAGGAGAGTGGAAAGGGTGAAAGTGTTCCAAACTTAACATTATAAATCTCATGTTCTTTATATCCTTACTTTGCCATCAGCACAATCTAAATTACAGTGTCTGGAGTTTCCTCCTGCTCTTTTTTTTCTTTCCACTTTTCTCGTTTTTTTTTTTTTCTTCCATTTTTCGCTCCTTTTTCTCACATCCTCGCTGTGCTTTCTGCGAATTAAGTAAGTGCTGGTAATGTGGAGGTATAAAGTAAGAGGGAAAGACAGAAGAGGGAGAAATGGAGGTAGAATGATGGGAAGGAGACAAAAAGTCAGAGGGAGGGAGACTTAAAGAGAGAATAACAGCAGGAGAGTAAGAAGGAGGAGACAGGGGGGTTTGCTGGTGGCTTTCTGGTTTGGGTTCGTAACCTTCCTCTCTGTCAGCCTCGGTTAGATATTAAATGATGGCAGTGTGATAGGAATTACCTCTTAACCCTCCTATTAAAGCCCTGTGGTCTGAGGTTTGGAACGGGGAGGAGAGGGAAGGAGCTGGACTAGCATTAAGGGAAAATAGGCATGGGTTGGAGGTTTTACTCTTGAGGAGTGGGGCGGGGGAGGTACGGACAAGAGGTATCAGGCTGGATAATAGTTTTTAGCGCAGTCTTTAATCCTGCTGGGATGAACACGGTGTATAAATCAGTTAGAGCGGTTGTCTCTTATTAGAAAATGTTGTAATTTAGCAGTAAGAGCGGCTGATCAGAGCCCCGACTAAGACGGATGAACAAAAGGCATCGGGGAGGTCATGTGAAGGGAGGGAGATGGATGGACGAAGGGATGCTGGTGGAAGATGAAGGTTGGGAGTAGATGGATGGAGGGATCGTAGGTCTCCGTGGCCCCTCTAGGTGCTCGGCAGGGGGGAGAGAAAACAAAAATAGGGACGGTGAGATAGATGGATCGTGGACTGGAGTCTGTGGGTTTCAGTGTGTGCAGTCTGTGGTCGTTTCCCCCCACAGTTTGCAGAGACTGTGGTCTCACAGCACATGCACACAGACACACACTGTTGCACACAGTAAGCTTGAGCTTTTGAGTAAAATGCATTTGCTACGAGTTCAATGAATTTCTGGTCTGAAATGCAACATATTCGTGATAGCTTGACTGGAAAACTGCAAGCCATTGGTTAGAGGGCTTTTGTGCCTCAGTGCACATTACAGTGTATCAGGGAGGTTTACTTTGCAAAGTGACTTGATGGCTGTTAGTCTCCTGTCTAATAACACTGACCCAGACTGATAACGCTGACCCAGACAGAGCCTCATCCTGTTATCTTCACTTTCTTCTCTGGGAGTCTGTGCGTGCGTGTTTTATGTGTGTACGCTTGTGAAAGCTTGTGAGTGTATGTTGCGTGTCAGGAGCCCGACTGCACCGTCTGTGCATTTGTACCCGCACTGGTTTACAGCCAGGGATACTCATGAAGCAACAACATTCTCCCCCATTAAAGCAGCTCACGTTACATTTGATTGGTTTGCATGAGGGGGCCGCGAGGAAGATGAAAAATGAGAGTAGCTTCAGACTAAAGAGATGTTTCCCCCCTTTACCCTCCATCAATAAAGCTCTAGTGGGGCCTCAGATGCTGAGTATTACATAATGTTGAAGGTGATCTTTGACCATGTTTCAACACTTAGAGACAGTGAAATACTGTAAAAGCTCCGGCTTGCGGGATAGATGTAGAGCTGTCACGTGTTTTCCAGATGGGATTATTGTCCTGGTATTTCAAACAAGAATCCATGAAATGCATTCTCTGACTTCAAGAAGAGATGAATTTTACTGTTCAAAGTAAGATCAAATAGTCTTTTCAAAATGAAATTGAATTCATACATAATGAAATGCACCTTTGCTCTTCTCAAGGAGTTTTGCAATGCACATTGCTGAGGCGGCTGACTTGATGACTCTTTTCTTAAACAATG